ATATACTGCGTTAAAACCATGAGAAGCAGAGTACATAGCCTGTCTCTTATACACATCTAGATGTGTATAAGAGACAGGAATATGGGGATTTATTTTTTAAATAATCCTTCCTCAGTTCCTCTTTAAAGGAAATTAACAAAAAAAAAAAAAAAAAAATTGTCCGTAATAACTATTAAATAATAAATAGATAGTTGTAAACAATTAATGCGTTTGACCACTTAATAATTCTAATTACAAGTCGGTTAATACTTAATAAGTATTACAGAAAGAATTTTATCATCATTTTGTGAAAAATTTGTGAAAATTTTTCCTCATATAAATTTAAATTTAATTAGCGGATTAATTTATTACTTTTCTTTCATTTGATTAACGCAAAGCGTTCGCTAGATACACAAAGAACATCGTCATTTCAAGTTATAAAAATAAAAAATTTTTAACTTTTGTAAACCTCCGAATATTTGTTATTTTATTTTATTTATTTATTTGATTTCCCCATTTTTTTATTTTTATTGATTATTAATATCTAAAAAACAAAAAGAATAAAAAAATAATATGATATAATATTGATATAATATTATTGTATAATAACTTTTTTTTTTTTTAATATTGTGGTCATGTAACTTAAACATTTTAAACATTGAAACAAAAATTATTCGTTTCGAGTTTTTTTCCTTTTTTGGATTGGATCTTCAAAAAAATTTTCGATATATATCAATGGAGTTTCTCCCCGTCGTATAAAATTTAGTTATATCTGTTGTGATTCTTTTTAATGCTTTATGACTGCTTGCTTCATTGTTTGTGATATTTGGAATACACTATAATTATTTATTTACAATCCGATTATTTATTCTTTATATACGTCAAAAAAAAAAACCCCCCCTCAAATGAAACAAGCATAAAAATGAACTTTATTTGAAATAAACCAATTATCAGCTAAAATGACGAATATGATCGTTGAAAAATAGGGGGAGGAAAGAAAGGGGAATTTCTTGTAAAGAATTCTGTTAAATGTTGTGTTTTAGTAAAAAGAAATTAAAGGCAATATATATATAAATATAGTTATTTATAATTTTATTAAATATTTTTAGAAAAATATTTCGCCTTTTCTTTTGATGTTTGACAAGAGTTACAATAATATAAAAGAAAATACAAATTTCTAATCACTGTTACAATGCGCCCGATTTTTGTGATCTAATAGTAATTTATCGAAATAAATCACGATCATCATTTTTTTTTTTTTTTTTCTTTCAATTTAAAAATTGTAGTACATAATTGATTCTTTACTTAGGATATTTTGAGAGCTGCTTAATTTTACGAAAGTATCTCCGTCATTTATTCATGGCTGTTGGTGTTATGATAATTGGTGAAATCTTATTATTTTGTGCTTTTATACTTTTGTACTCCCCTTGGATACTAGGAATTCAATTTTCCTTGTTATTATTCCTTTGAATTAAACATAATTAATTCACATTTTGATCAATTTATAACGGTGAGAATTATTAGAGGATGCAGCCAAGAAGTTCTCCCGTTAAAATTTCGAGCAATTTGTAACTGCAATTTGAGCGATCATATTTGGTTGGATTTTATTTGATCGAAATTTTATACCAATAGTGTATTAAAATTTGTGTATATTTTTTAATCCTTGTTTAAAGGAGCTTTTATAGTATATTCTGATAGATTGGCGGATAATTTTAATAAAATTTGTGGAATACAATCACATAATGTTCTTAATCCGCAGCTGTATCAAAAAGAAATGAATTTGATTGGTAAGATCAAATCGATTAATAAAATTTCGACTTTCAATAATATATTTTCAAAAAAAAAAAAAAAAATAAATTCTTTTGATAAAAATAAAATAAAATAAAATAGCTACAAGATAAAAAGACTATATTTTTAAACTATATATTTAATATATACTAATAAATAATACTAATATAATATTATGAATCTTTAACAACAATCTCCACCTGGTTTGTAATATTCGTCCATCAAAAATTTAGTGGCTCTTTTAGCTCGATTTAAGACATCATCTTTATTACCATGAGTAACATTATTGTCAAATAATCTATTAACTTCATCTTCGGTATATTTGAGTGCCAGTTCAGTAGCTTTTGATACATCTTCCAAGGTCTTATTTTGAGTGCTTTCAAGTTTGACTTTACATTTTGCTCTGGCTGCTGCTCCTGCTACAATCAATTCGGAGTTAAGATAAGAATCTTTTTGTGTTACAGCACGACCGTCAGATCCATAAATAACAGATTGAGAAGGTTTATTTAAAACTTCTGTAACAATGGTAGTATTTTTGCTATTGAGAAATTCGCAACCTTGTTGAATCAAATATTGTTCACAGGCTGAATATAATTCTTTTTCCAAATCAGAATTATGGACTTGTTCGCTGATCCAGGAACTTGCACGATCACAGGCTTTACGCCACTCGGATTCGTATTCAACCAAAACAATTTTGAAATAGGTGACAATAAATGCAGATATCCAAAGACTCTTATCAAGACGTCTCAAACGTAAACTACCAACATAAGATTTAAGAGTTTCGACAGCTTCTTCGGGTGAAGAAATCTTGAGTTGTTCGGAAATTATTTTGTGAAGAGTGAAAGATCCATTGTTATGTTGGGATTTGCATAAAGAAAGAGCATGGTCAACTTTAGCATCAGATCTAAGTCCATTATATATGGTAGTTTTTGTTGTTTCATCTACATCAAGCTTAGTAACTTGAACATTTATGGTTTGATTATTATAAGCCTCTACAGCTTTTTCAATCAGATACTGGTCGCAGGCAGAGTCTAATTCTTCCAACTCTTCTTTACTAAGTTTTTTACTGGCTACCCATTTATTTGCTTTTTCACAAATGTTACGCCATTCACTTTCGTAATCAACTAAAACATATTTGAAATATGTAATAATAAATAAAGTTTGCCAGATTGATTTATCACAATTCTTTAGATTTTTGGTGCCAACATAACGAGTAATTCCTTTAACAAATTCGTCAATTGATGAAATTTTAAATTGTTCAAGAATTGATGAATGTAAGGTGAAAGAGCCATCGTCATTTTGAGATGTGCGAATTGCGTGAGCGTCATCAAGGATGGAACGTTCTTGAAGATATTTAAGCACAGTTTGGCGAGTGTCTTCGGAAACTTCAAGTTTGACCTTTTCTATTTCTTCTACAGTTACATGTTCAATTTTTCTGGAGCCTTCTTCGATCACATATTGTTCACATGCGCTAAATAATTCCTTTTCTAATTCTTTATTGTTATTAAGTTGTTTAATCAACCAAGAGCTAGCGCGTTCATAGGCAGCTTGAGTTTCACCTTTGTGTTCAACAAGAACATATCTTAAAATATAAATCGTGAGCGCAGTTTCAAAGACCGAATCATCATATGATCTTAAATGTTGGTTACTAATGTAACTTTTCACATTCGTAATTAACCGATTAGTACTGGAGACATTAAATTGGTTTTTGATTGATTTATGGAGAGTAATTGAACCATCATTTTTCTGAGATGAGCAAATTGAACGAACATCATCAACGTTGTATTCTCCTTTCAAAACGGAAATTGTTGTGTTCTTTGTATCTTCATCAAATATACTTTTTCTGACTTGAAGAGTTCTTTCTTCTTTTTCCTTAACTATATCACGTGTTACACGATCAATGACATATTTGTTCGAAGTTACCAAAAGTTCTTTTACTAAATTATCATCTCCGAGCTGAGATCGAACATATTCTTCAGCTTTATTGTACTTGTCTTTCCAATCATTTTCGTGTTGACTAGCTGTATTTTTCAAATATTGCCTAAAATAAAATGTGAAAAAATAAGTTAGAATAGAAGAAGAAAAAAATGTGTTTATATAAGGTTGGTTAGTGTGTACTTACATTGATATAACGGTTTGCCAAACTGAAGGTTTAACATTTTTGAGTTTATCATTTTTGGTATAAGTTATTACAGAGGTCACTAGAGATTCAGGAGAGGTAGAATTGAGCTTATCGGTAATTTCCTTGCTAACTTCAAAGGAACCATCAGTTTTTTGTGTTGAAACAATAGTTTTAGTGATTTCAGGGGTAATTTGTATTTCTTTTAAAGCTTCTTTCTTAGATGCTTCTGCTACCTTTTCTGAACTTTTGTCAATTACTACTTTGCTTGATGCTTTTATGATGTCTTCCTCTAGTTGTTTATCTCCAATTTGAGAGCTAAGGTAATCCCTGGCTTTCTTATATTTTTCTGATACGGCGCTTGAAGGATTATCCGTATCTGTCGTGGCTGTACGTAGATATCCGAGCATGAGTGCTGTTTTAAAGATAGAATCGGAATTTTTAGGTTGAATTTTATCGCTTTTAACATAGGATTGTGCTTTCTTGACTAAATCCTCAGGGGAAGTATCATTAAGTTCTTTGGTGATCGTCTTGCTTATTTCAAAAGATCCATCATTTTTCTGAGATGATATCGCATCATTGACGGTTTCTTTTGGGGTTGATGATCGTATAGCAAGAACAGCTGCTTTCTTTTTATCTTTAATAACTTTTTGAGTCGATTGTTTTACAACGTATTTGCTAGAAGCGTCTATTAATTCATCCACCTCTTTAGGATTTCCAATTTCTTTAGTTAGATATTGATGAGCTATCTCATATTTTTCTTTCCATTCACCTTCATGCTGATCCGCTAAATTTTTGAGGTATGCAATGTTTACGGCCGTAGTAATCCAGATAGGTTTTGCGTTTTTGAGTTTTTCATTGGTGATATATTGTTGAACAGTAGTCACTATTGTTTCTTTAGAAGGTGCATCTAATTGTTTACAAACGGTTTCGCCAGCCTCAATAGAACCATCGTCATTTTGTTTTGATACTACATACTGGATAACTTCTTTGGTCGTAGATGACGTTTTAACTGTATCAAGAGCATCGACTTTTTCATGATCATGATCATCATCATCTTTCTCGCCCCAGGTGATTGCGTCTTCAATATCTTTGCTTAATTTTACAACACTTGTAGAAATATTATCAAACCATCCAGGTTTCGTTTTTGATTCAGTTTCAGGTTTGGCAGGAGTAGGCTGATCTTTTTTGGGTTGATCTTTTTGAACTTCTCTAGTATCTGTCTTGGGATGATGTGTTGCAGGACTTGCAGTACTAGGAGAACCAGTACTAGGAGTACCGGAAAACTTTTCAGCCAATTTACTAACCGCGCTTTCTTTAGGTTTTTCTGGGGATTTTGTTGTACTAGTGGTAGTTTCTTTAGGTTTTTCTGGGGATTTTGTTGTACTAGTGGTAGTTTCTTTAGGTTTTTCTGGGGATTTTGTTGTACTAGTGGTAGGAGCTACAGGAATGGATTCGATTTTCTTTATTGTTGTTTGTTTTGTGGTATCACTACTACCCCAGGTGGGTAACAAATTAAACCAAGGTGATGATTCTTTTTTCTTATTGGAAACTTTTTCGACTACTATTTTTTCACAAGATTCTAAAATTTCTTTTTCTAATTTTTCATCCTTGATTTGTTCATGCAACCAAGCGCGGGCTTTTTCATTTTGATCTGTCCATTTTGATTTGTGTTTTCCTAACACTTTGTTGCAGTAAGCTATTGTTATAAATGTATTCCATACTTTGGTATCAAATTTTTTGACACGTTCATCAGTGATACGTACGGATGATGAAATATTTTCAGTTGTGATTTCTCCAAGTTTTTCGGTAACTTTGTCAGGTATTTTTTCATATGAACCTTCTTTATTTTGAATTTCAATGACTTTTGTGATCTCTTCTTCAGTTACAGTTTCTTGAATTTCTTGGACAACCGATTGATCCGCTTTTTCTTTGATTACTTTCTTGGCTGCATGATCGACAACAACTGTATCGGTTTTTTCTAATAATTCTTTAATTTTTTCTTCACTTCCTAACTCAGTCTTCAAATATTTTTCTGCTTTTGCAACTTTTTCTTTTAATTCTGGTGAACTATCGGTGGATGATGTATTTCTGAGGAAGGATAAGGTTATAGCTGTATCTATTACTTTTTTGTTCTCTGGTGCTTTCGTTCCTTTACCGATGAAATAAGTTTTAATAGATGAAACTAATGATTCATTAGATTCAACATCAAGCGCCTTAGAAACGGTGTCAGTGAGTTCTAAGGATCCATCTTCCTTTTGAGATGATACTATTTCTGTTGCTTTTTCGGTTGTGGTAGATTTTTTGATAGTGGAAACGGCATCTTCCTTTCCTTTTTTGACACTTTGATCAACAATAATCTTTTCCGACGTTGTTAATATCTCTTCTACTAATTTTTCATCTTTGAGTTCCTCAATAAGGTACTTTTTGGCTTTGTCAGATTGTTCTTTATGTTGATCTTGAGATTGAGAGGTAATGGTTAAGTAGCGGAGTGACAAGGCTGTTTCCCATACGTTCTTTGGGACTGATTTTAATTTATCGCTAACACCATAAGTTTGAATTGAGGATTGTATATTATCAGAAGAGATGTTAATTTGATCGGATACGGTTTTGTCTAATTTAATAGACCCATCGGGTTTTTGGTTTTCTACGATCTTCTTGGTTGTTTCAGGAGTGGTTGTTGATTTAAGATTAAAAAGTGTAGAAGATACAGTATCAGCGGTATGTTGTACGGTATCGGTTGTGTATTTAACTGCACTACCAAAATACGAGCCAATTCCACCTAATCCCCAACCTTTCTTTTCTTTCTTTTGTTCTCTTTTTTCTTCAGTAGATACTTTGATTGTTTTTTCAGAGACTGTTTTAATAACATATTTTTCACAAGATTCTAAAACTTCTTTTTCTAATTTTTCATCCTTGATTTGTTCATGCAACCAAGCGCGGGCTTTTTCATTTTGAGTTGATTGTTGTTTTCCTAATACTTTATTGCAATAAGCAATTGTTATAAATGTATTCCATACTTTGGTATCAAATTTTTTGACACGTTCATCAGTGATACGGACGGAGGATGAAATATTTTCAGGTGTGATTACTCCCAGTTTTTCGGTAATCTTGTTGGATATTTTTTCGTATGAACCTTCGTTATCTTGAGTTTCAATGACTTCTGTGATCTCTTCTTCAGTTATAGTTTTCTGAACTTTTTCGACAACAACTTGATCTGCTTTCTCTTTAGTTGCTTTTTTCGTTGCGTGTTCAACAACAATTGTATCGGTTGTTTCTAATATTTCTTTAATTTCTTCTTCACTTCCTAGCTCAGTTTTTAAATATGTCTCTGCTTTTTCAATTTTTGCTTTTAATTCTGGGGATTTATCGGTAGATGATGTTTTTCTGAGGAAGGATAAAGTTATAGCAGTATCTATTACTTTTTTGTTCTCTGGTACTTTCGTTCCTTTATTATTGAAATAAGATTTAAAATAAGATACTAATGTATCAGTTGACTCAGTATCAAGCCCCTTAGAAACGGTGTCAGTGACTTCTAAAGATCCATCTTCTTTTTGAAGTGATACTATCTCCTTTACTTTTTCGGTTGTGGTAGAGTTCTGAATAGTAGCGACAGTTTCTTTCTTATCCTTTTCAACACTTTTTTCTACAATAATTTTTTCTGACGTAGTTAATAACTCTTCCACTAATTCTTTATCTTTGAGTTCCTCAATAAGGTACTTCTCGGCTTTTTCAGATTGTTCTTTATGTTGATCTTGAGATTGAGAGGTAATGGTTAAGTAGCGGAGTGACAAGGCCGTTTCCCATACCTTCTGTGGGACTGATTTTAATTTATCGCTAACACCATAAGTTTGAACTGAGGATTGTATGTTATCAGAAGAGATGTTAATTTTCTCGGAAATCGTTTTGTCTAATTTAATAGAACCATCGGGTTTTTGGTTTTCTACGATCTTTCTGGTTGTTTCGGGAGTGGTCTTTGATTTAAGAGTGATCAATGCCGCAGTTTTCTCTGTCTTCTTTTCTTGTTTAGCTTGTTTGCGGACAACATTTGTGGAAGCTTCAGTAACAAATTTTTGTGATGATTGCAAAATTTCTTCTTCTAAATCATCATCCTTAATTGCTTCTTTAACATATTTTCTAGCCTTCTCATACTTATCTTTCCATTGGCTATCTTGAGAAGACGATGTAGTTTGTAGGTAAGCTAGAGTGATAACAGTATAAAATAATTTTTTATCATTAATCTTCTTCAATTTTTCACTTGATACGTAATTTTTCATTGTCGTGATAAGAGTTTCTGAAGAGACGTCAAGATCCTTGCAGACCACGTCGCTCAATTCAAAAGATCCATCTTGTTGTTGAGTTGAAACAACAGTCTTGATTGTTTTTTCAGTGGTTTTAGATTGGATGGCTGCTAAAGCTTTTTGTTTTTCAACTTCGGTTTGTTTAAGTACGACCTTTTCTACTACAATTTTATTTGTCACTTTCAAGATTTCCTTTTCAGCATTTTCGTCACCTCCGAGTTGAGTTTTGAGATAGTTTCTTGCTTTTTCATATTTATCTTTCCACGCTCCTCCGAGTTCATCAGAGTTAATTTTCAAATAATTTAAGCTTATCGCAGTATTCCAAACTTCAACTGGTGCATTTTTTAATTTTTCGTTTTTAGTTAAAGTATTGACAGTGAGCTTCAAAGTTTCGTTGCTGATATTCAGGTCTTTGCGAGTAGTATCACTTAATTCAATCGATCCATCACTCTTTTGATTAGAGATAACTTTTTCTGCTTTTTCAACGGAACCAACTTTCCGAACTTCAGAAAGTGCTACACGTTTTTCAGCTTTCTTCTTCTTTTCGGTGATTTTCTTTGTAGATTTATCAACAACTAATTTCGAACAAGTTTTTATAATTTCTTCTTCAAGAGCATCATCGTTGATTTGTTCTTTAAGATATTTTCTAGCTTTTTTGTATTGCTCAGACCATGTTGACTCATTATTAGACGCATAGACTTTTAAGTAAGAAATAGTAATCGCAGTTGTGATAGCTTTATTATATTTTACGTCTTTAACATATTTCTTCACAGATTCATTTGTGGTATAAGTCAACACAGAATTGGTAAGAGTTTCATTGGAAGAAATGTCAATTTGTTTTTTGATGTCATCATTAAGCGCGAATGATCCGTCATTTTGTTGTTGTGATGTTATGGTTTTAACATCAGTCTTTGACTGAATAGCGGACAATGCAGCTCGCTTCTCTTCCTTCTTTTGTTCTTTTATAACCTTATTACTGGTTTTTTCTACAACTATTGTTTTGGTTGTTCTTAAGATCTCCTTTTCCAACTCATCATCATTAACTTTTTCTTTGAGATACTTTCTGGCACGGTCATATTGTTCCTTCCAAGTTGATTCGTGAGATGAAGCGTTATATTGTAAATAAATAACTTAATAAATGAAAAGAATAAATAGATGAGTATTTAAATTGAATATATATATTAAAATATTATAAGAATTTTCTTACGTGTAATTGCAGTTGTCCAAACTGAACTATCTTTGATTGTCTTGACGCGTTCGTTTGTTGTAACGGTATGACAAGTATTTAATAAAGTTTCTGGTGAAGAGATATCCAGTTGTTTACTTATTTGTTCATTCAATTCGAATGAACCATCTGATTTTTGAGCTGAAACAATTTTCTTAGTAGTTTCTACAGTGGTTTTTGACTGAGCAGCAGTTAAGGCAATTCGTTTTTCCTTTAATTGTTTCTTTCGGACTACTTCTGTAACGCTCTTTTGTACAATATATTTCCTACAAACGTTTAAGAGTTCTTTTTCCAATTTTTCATCGTTTACTTCTTTACGAATATATGATATAGCCTTATCATATTTATCACGCCAGTTTCGCTCTTGGGAAGAAGCAGCATTTTGTAAATAGCTAATTGTTAGGGCTGATTCAACTAATTTTGTATCTTTGGAGTTGATAACTTTCTTGAGTTTTTCGCTAACTCCAATTGATTCGATTGATGTAACAAGAGATTCGGAAGAAGAAACATCAAGTTGCTTCTTAAGGTCCGTGCCCAATTCAAGTGAACCATCTTGTTTTTGTTTTGATACAATACTAATTACTGTTGAAGGTGAAGTCTTCTTATCGAGATAAGATAAAGTTATTCTCTTTTCCTTTTTGGCTTGCTTGCGAATAACATTTGTAGTAGACTTTTGAATTACTAATTCTTTACTTGCTTTTAATATTTCTGCTTCTAATTTTTCATCTTTGACTTTTTCTTTTATAAATTTTCTGGCCTTATCATAATGAACTTTCCAAGTTGATTCGTGAGCGGTACCATAGGTTTCAAGGTAAGATAATGAAATTGCCGTCTTCCAGACATCCACATTCGTTACTTTTTTCAAACTTTCAGTGGTAGCATGAGTTTCTACAGTTTTAAGGATAGAATCAGATGAGATACCGGAATTTCTAGTAATTTCTTCACTTATTTCAATGGAACCTTCGGGTTTTTGTTTTGAACATATGATCTTTGTTGTTTCGACTGTAGTCTTTGATTGAAGATGTAATAAAGCTACACGTCTCTTTTTGACTATAACCTTTTGTGTAGCTTTTTCAGCACATAACTTATAAGAAGCTTCCCACAATTCTTTTTCTAATTTTTCATTCTTGATCTGACTTTTAATATATTTTCTTGCGGTATCATATTGACCTCTCCAATGTTTTTCATGATGAGGAGCTGTAAGTTCAAGGTAATGAAGCTGAATAGCAGTTTGCCAAACTGTAGGATTTTGTTTAATTGTTTGTTTAAGTTCTTCAGTTTTAGCATATGACTCACAAGTAGAGACCAATTTATCAGAAGAAATATCAAGTTTCTTCGAAATAGTTGGATTCCATTCAAAATGATCCGTTTTAAATGAAGATAAAATGGATTTGGTCTTTTCAAGGGTAGTCGATGATTGGATTGTAGCGAAAGCAGAACGTTGTTGTTTACGAATAACTTTATTTGTTGCTCTTTCTACTACTATTTTCTTGCTTGCGGCCAAAATTTCTTCTACTTTGTCTTCACCTACTTCCTTAATAAGATATTTTCTTGCTTTTTCGTTTTGTACTTTCCAGTGGGATTCATGTTGATTAGCAAAAGTTTGTAAATAACTGATCGTCAAAACGGTTGAAAGAACTTCAGGTTTTAATTTTCGAATGGTCTCATTAGTAGTACTAGTACGAATTGATTCGGTTAAAGTTTCTTCAGAAGTTTCGAGTTTCTTGGAAACTATATCACTCAATTTATAGCATCCATCTCCTTGTTGATAAGAAATGATTGATTGAGTCTTTTCAACTGTAGTAGATGATTGAACGTCGAGAATTGCTTTACGTTGGCTTTCGCTTTGAGTAATAACTGCATCTTGTTTTTTAGCTTCTACCCCTATCTCCCTACTTTTAGTTTCTGCATGTTGACCTTTATCAACAGATTTTCCTTTATCTGGTGCTGCTGCACTTTCATCAGGAATAGGAATAGCTTTTCGCATAATAATAAATACAAATTAATCTCAAGTAAATAAAATAAACACGAAAATTACAAATTAAAATATTTCACGAACCTGGAAATTCTTTAGAGTCTTTATCAATTGTTTCATTATCTACATTATAAGTAATAATGACATATGATCTTGCACTTTTAAGTAACTCACTCTCAACTTCTTTATCTTTAATTTGTTGTTTTAACCATTTGCATGAGGTTTCATAAGTAGTTGACCATTCAGAACGATGTTCAGAGCCTTCTAAGCGAAGATAATAAATTGATATAGCTGTAGTTAAAATATCCAAATCAAGTTTTGAAGTAAGCTTAGAACCAAAGTGTTTATTAATAGAAGTTTTGAGGGATTCGCTATTCTCAAATGTCAACTGTTTGGCAATATCATCGTTAAAGGTAAATTTCCCTTCTTTATTTTGATACTTAATGTATTTCTTGACTGTTTCAACAGTAACGACTGGTTTTACAAGAAGTGATGGTTTTCTTTTAACCTTGGCTAAAAAACAATAAAATAAAATTAAATTATTAACACTTATTCTTGCAAAATAATTTTGTTAATAATATTATATATATATATATACAAACCTTCATTTATCGCTTCTTCTTCTTTTTCCTTTGCAATCATTTCCTTCTTTCTACTCAAAGTCACAGCAAATTTATTATCTTCTTCAACAGATTCATTATCAACTTGATATCGTTTGTGTATAAATTCTTTAGCACAATCTAAAACTTCTTGTTCTAATTTCGAATCATTGCATTGAACTCTTAAATATTCGGAAGTTTTTTCAAAGGATTCAAGCCAATCATTACGATAATCTAATGCTACATAACGTAGGTACCAAATTATACAAGCACTAGCCCATAAATGTTCAACTTTCTTAACGTTTTCACTCTTAAAGTAAGTTTGAAGTTCTTTTTTAAGATCTTCAGCATTTTCGAATCCAAGTAGTTCAGCAGTCTTGTTATTAAGAGGAATGTTACCATCTTGAGTTTGATAGGCAAGAATACGACGAACGATACGAATAGTAACCATTTTACGTGTAAGGATGAAACGTTTATGAGCTAATAAAAATTTTAATATTATTCGAAACATATTAATATAATATCGCATAAAAATTAAAAACAAAAAAAAAAAACAAAAAAATAGAAATAGAAATAGAAACTTTACTTGAAATCAAAACAATTTTTTGTTCTTCCTCAAAATCTTTAACATTGAATTTCTCAATAATGAATTTTTCACAAATTTCATATAATTTGTCTTCAAGTTCAATATTATTGACTTCTGAACTTAGCCATTCTTCACTGTTTGCTGAAACTTTATTCCATTCTACACGATATTTCCAACATAAAATTTTTAAATATGTGATTACTAATGCAGTACTAAGAGCAGATTCACTTAAACTTTGCAATTCAGTGGATTCAGTGGTGAGTTTCAAGAAGTCACTCTTTAATTCTTCCTGAGATTTAAAGTTAAAGAAATGAGATACATCATCAGAAAATTCGAAGTAACCTCTAGAATTTCTCCAACTTAGAATAATATAAATATGTTCAATAGTAAGAGTATCTTTGCTGAAAATGAAACTCTCTTTCCAGCTATATTGAGTAGAAACGAATTGGACTTCCATATCTAATTCACCACTAGGTTTTTTATTAATAATAAGAGGGAACCATTCTCTTACAGTTTCACTAGTAGTGTAGAAACCATCTTCAGATTTTTTAACAATTTTGGCGGTTTCAAAAATATAAGTACCAAGAGGTTTATCAGCTACAAATAAATTTTCATCCATAATCTCGAAGGTAATGCTTTCTCCAGTACCATGAATTGAAACATAATGAACTTCTTCCCATTTTGGCTCAATCGTTTCAGAAATAGTACGAGTTCGAACAATTTCTTGACCAGAAGCATCAAGAATTTTAATATAAGGATCTGGTTTTGAAGAAGTAAACCATGAACTTGACTTTGGAAGATTTCGGGCACCTTTGATTTTAATTTTAAGAAGTCCGATGACTTGATCTGTTACAATAGCATCATTCTCATTCTTTATTTCATCTTCTTCGATTTGCCTTTTTATTTCTGAAGGAATATTTTCTGGGGTAAGAGCCAAAGTAGTTTCGAAGGTTTCATCTTCTTTCAATGCCTCATCATCAACATCGAATCTCTTTCTGACAAAGCTTCTTGCGGCTTCAAGGAGTTCTTCTTCGGTTTGTTTATCTTTTACCTGCTCAGTAATCCATTTTGATGTTGTTTGATATTTATCAACCCATTCTCCTCTGAAATCGACCAATACGTATCTTATATACCAAATCATTATAGCCGAACTTTGTAAGTTGACATCAAGTTTTGAAACTTTTGAATTTGATGAGAAATGAGTTTCCAAGCTTTTCTTTGCTTCTTCGGCTGAACTGAATCCAAGAGTTTCAGCCAAGTGATTGTCAAGTTCAAAACAACCCGATTCTTTTTGATAGCTCAAGAAACGACGTACATGACGTATGGTAACGTTACGGCGAGTAATGATAATTTTCTTTGATTGAACTGTCAAATATTATTTTAAATAATAAATAATTTTAAAATTAAAATCAAATTTTCTTTTTTTTAAACAAAGTGACAAAGTGTGAAAAAAATTATAAACATACCAATAATACCGAGACTCTTCTTTTGTTCTTCACTTTCCCATTCAGTGAATTTGAAACGTTCGATGACAAATCTGTTGGCCAAAGTATATAGCCGTTCCTCGGTTTCAATGTCCGTAACAATTTCACTTAAGTAAGTTTCGGCTTTTGTATAAGTTGTCATCCATTCTTGTCTATGTTCCCATAATAGAGTTTTAAGGAATGCTATATGAAAAGGGATAAGAAAATATAAATTTAATTTAAAATATGGGGGAAAAAAACAACTACAAAAATATGCGTTAATATGAAGTAGTGATAAAATTACCTGTAAGTAATGCGGTACCCCAAGTATCGATATGAAGAGCTTTTACTCTATCATCATTTTCTCTTTCTATATAAGCGGTAAATGATTTTACCAATTCCTCCTTGGTATCAAAATTTAATAATTTTGCTAATCTGTCATTTAATTCAAATCCACCATCTGGACGCTGATAAGTTATCAAAATATACAAATGTTGGATGGTGATTGTAGATTTAGAGATAATAGTCGTTGTATAATCTTGTTCAGAATAGGAATGGAAGTCGGCAATAAAATGAAGTTTTCCTTTATTAGGTCTTAGTTCGCATGTAGTATCTAATTTTTTTCCTGTAACGGCTCCATTGCTTAAAACTTTAACAAAGTCTTTAAGATCAAGAACGTAAGATCCCAAAGTTACATGCTTAAAGAAAGCATTATAATCATAAATTTGAATCTTGATTTTATCATTAAGGTCATAAATTGGAATATAAAAAACTTGATTCCACTCAGGATTAATGTTGTTGTATACGACACGAGTTTCACCATAAACTTCGCCGCTGGATAAGCCAATAATTTTTACATATGGATCTGAGGCACCACCACCAAACCATGAGTCTGCTTTCATGAGATTTTTGGCACTGACAATATGAATTCGCGCAACACCATGAAGTTTTTTGGCTAATTTGATAAAATAAAATGAAATAATTAAATAATTAATACCTTTAAATATTAAATAATAATTTAGTTAAAATAAAATTATAATTCTTACCAGAAATACCTCTACTAACTGAGACTCCACCCTTTTTAATGAAATCAATCTTATCAGCAATATGTTTGATAAATTGTTCGTCTAATTGCATGACATCTTCTTTAACACTATATCGTTCTTTAACAAATGATTCAATGATTTTAAAGGCTTCTTGTTCAATTTTTTCTTTCCCTTTGAATTGTACCCATAACCATTTGTAAGCCCTTAAATAAGATTCCTCCCATTCTGTTTTATGATCTACTCCAACAAGACGGAAGTAGTATAATACGAGTATAGTAACCCACACTTGGGTTTCATAATTCGTGATTTTAGCACTTTTAGATTGAGAGTTAATATGTCGAGTAAGTGCTGTACGAAGTTGCCCTGAACTATTAAATGACATTAATTTCGCAAGTTCATCACTAGCTTGGAATGCACCAGTGCTAGTTTGATGTCTAATTATACGAGTGACATCATGAGTTTTGACATTTTCTCGGGTAATAATTTGTTTATCTAATAATTTAGAATAAATAGGTAAATATATTTTTAATATGTACATATAAAACTCTCTAATACAATTAGCAAATGTGAATTACTTACCATCAACAACTTTAATTTCAAATCTCTCCCGTACGGCTTTTCTTCCACCTGCGATTACAATTTCTTCAATTTCTAAATCACCACCTAACTCTTTAGTGATATATCGTTCTGAACGTTCATAAATTCCTCCCCATTCACTTCTATGTTCTTTTAATAAATATCTCAAAAACCATAATACCTATAAATAATAAACATAATAATGTGATTAAAAATAATAATAATTTTTTTTTTTTTTGATACATAAACTACATAGTGACAAGACTTACCATACTAGTGGTCCAAATTGTCTTATTGGTATTATTTACGACTCTATCATCATGAACATGATTTTTATACAATTCAAACAGTTCATTCGTACTAGAATAACCGAACAAGTTTGCTAATGTGTCAGAAGGAGGGAAGCTACCATTTGGTGCTTGCAATGTAATAAGGACATAAAGTGTTGATTTATCAAAGGGTTTTTCCTTAAGATTAGCGAGGAAATCTGGTGTTGGTTTTGGTAAAGAACTTAAAGTTAAAGGGGAAAATTTTGCTTTGTAATGAAGTTTTCCTTGAATTGAAAGATTGGCCCATCTAAATATTAATTAAAAAAAAAAAAAAACCTGTTAGCTTTCAATTAATTAAAGAAAAACTAATAATATTAGCGTTCATACTCACTTATCAATGCCATTCGGTGTTCCTTCAAATACATTAGGTGAAACTTCTTTAACAAGTTCTTTAGTAACTTCGAAAGTACAATGACCAAGCGGTTTGTCTTTAGTAAAAGCATTAAAATCCATCACGTCCAAGATGAATTTATCCCCAATATTATTTACTGGCAAGTAATGAACTTCATTCCAAACGGGATCCAAATTATTGTCAATGAATTTAGTCTGAGCAATAATGTCTTGACCACCCTCGTGAAAAACTCGAACGTAAGGATCAGATTTTCCTTAAATTTTGAAATTTTTTTGTGAATAATTTTCAAATAATCAAGAATTAATGAACGGTTTAAAGAAATAGATACTTACCACCAGCAAAGAATGAATCAACACTTTTAAGACCTTTAGCTTCTACTAATTCCAATCTAATAATACCAATCGCTCCTTCATCTTAAGAAGGTAAAAAGAAAAGAGAAATTAATGATTTTCTGGATCTAATATTATATAACCTAATCATGTGTAGAAAAATTAATTTAAATACATACTACGACGTTTCTTGCTTAAAGAGACAATTTCCCATTTGGCAGAGTTAGACTTTATAAAACTTTTTGAGCCGCTATCAGAGAGCACAACATGTGATCCTTCTTTTGCATTACCACCTTTCACATCGATAACGTATTTAGGATGGCTTTTTAAAGAAATGTATCCTTCCTTGGTCAAAGCCCATCGTTGATTAGAACCATTAGAACCAGGTTTTTGATGATGAAGGACAATACGGTTACCAGGTTTTCCTATAGAATAAAATTAAAATAAATATTAAATTCACGTGATTCTGTATTACAAATAGGAGAATTTACTGGATATTTAAAAGAAAATCCAGAATTATACTATATTTGGACATGATTATATAATACACATTTCGCTTTTTGCAAACACGATACGTCATTAAAATTTTTTTATAACGATTTTAAAATACTTACCATTATCAACTTCTAAATATAAATTGGTTTGTTTATTAACAAGATAACCATTTTCGTGTCTCCAAAGTTGATAGGCAGCATCATTTTCTGCTTCACTTTTTTGCGAAGCGATAACAGTTTTTGAACCTTCCTTTACGCTTGAACCACCAAATCCAAAGAAAGTGGTAGCACGTTCAACGTCCAATACAAGGCTCGTTGAACCTACCTTAAGGTAGAAATAATCCTCAGGAAAGCTCGTCATTAACGTGTTATTATTTTACAATAAGTGTGTATATACTCAAAAAGATAATATTTTAAATAAAAAATAAATAAATAATTACAATAATTACAATAATTACAATAATTACAGAATCGTTCCCGAAAAAATGAAAAAAAATTTCGGGGTTTGAAATTTATGTTTCTTTTTACAAAGCTCCTTTTATATTAACTCATAGAACACTAATGTAAAACATATTATATAATATAATTTATTTGTTTATAGTTATATTACAAAGAAAAGATTTTTCATCAATCGATAAGAAAAAAAAAAAAATTTTTTTTTTCCCATGCGTAAAGGTACATTAAAGTAAAGTAACAAATAATCTACATAAAATAGATGTGAAAATCCTTGGCTGAGATGTTGGCTAATCTTCGGGTTGCACAGCAATCAATTCCAAACAAATATGGGGAGAGGTTGGGGTGAAAAGTGTTACGATGCGACGCGTTATTCAAGTTCTGACTATATCAGATATTTCGATGGAACACTGAAAAAACAAATTTAAAAAAATCATATGGAGAAGATAAAAACATTAATTGTGCAATAAAAACAAAATATATTTTATGCAAAGTATAATAAAAAAAAAAAAAAAAAAAAAAAGATTTAGATAATTTTTGATTAACGAAGGGAACACGGACCAGAACCCACAATCTTTAACCCGTTTTATTTTAAAACATGCCGTTATATTTTGTTAAAATCAATAAAAAATCAACCTGTAAAGAGGGGAAGTCATTTTGTCCAACAATAATTTGAAGCACGAAAAAAAAACACGAACAAATCTTTCTTATTCGATCAACGGCTTCTCACCAAAAAAGGTGGAAAAGGAATCAATTTAAAAATTTAAGTAAGCATTTTAATAACCCCTGTCTGTTCTGTGACTAAAAATAGTGATTCTTAGCTTAAAAATCAGTAAACGTAATAAATGCTTATCTTTCATTTATTTTAAACTTGAATAAAAACAAGTTAACAGAAAGAAGTACCTTAAATGTTAAAAGGATATTTAAAGTTATCAACATGCACGTCGATCCATCTTTCATCAAATTAAACGATCCGCCGCAGTATTTAAACGGATTAAGCGTAATATTATCGCGCGATTATTTACACAATCTAACATGGATTACGCAATCAGTCTAAAAAAAAAACTTGTTTGGAAAAGAGAGATAAAAAGAAAAGATTTTAAGATGTGATAAATTAAAAATATTCAAACTTGAATTTAGGGGTGAAATGTTTCATCAACACAAGAGTATTCAAAAAGCTTCATGATAGTTTTGATAATTTCTACATGCAATCATTAAAAATAATAAGGTAAACAATCAGGATATAAGATATATTTAGTACATTTAAAGTTAAGCTTAATTTCCCGCCATCATGATTACGGCAAAATAGATTTTCACGTCAGCAAGTGGAACTTCAACTTATTTTTTTGCCGATGAATCCAAAAAAAGTAATAGGCTAAGTAATCAAACCAGTTATCGATATTTTTAATAATACTAATCCAAATTATTTAAATTATTTCAATCTATTGTAAAATCTGGAATTGGATGAATGTTTGTGACATGAATGAATATTATTAAAATTTAATTAATACTTTTATTGATAAATTCTATAAATGTTTAAATTATTAACATGAAGGCGAAAGCTCAACAATCAAATGTAGACAATTGAGGAACCGTTTGTTTTTTTTTCTGTTAAACATTTTTAGCCTTTTGATCCCTCTTGCCTATTTAATCTTTACTGCTCGATATATTGATTATGAGCATAATCATCTTCCCTTAATCTTTTTTTTTTTTAAAAAAAAAAAAAAAAAAAATTTTTGAATAAGATTATTAATAATGAATCACGTCCCATAATAATCCCCTACATTTCTTATCAGAAATCTTTTGATTTTTTAATTGGATTTCAAAAGATTTCAGGATCGGTTCCTCAGACGATTATCCTTCCCAAATTGTAATTCTGGTATCGATTGATAAAAATATTTCTTTCTAAAGATTTCTCCTTTTTACATCTTTTGCTTTTAAATTCTAATTACGCGTTTTTTTTTTTTAGTATACGAGTTATCCTCATCGATTAGATATTTCTCTTACAATTCGTTATAAGGGTAAATGGCGTGGTAAGTCAACTGCATGCATGCACACGCTATAATAATAAAAAAAAAACTAGTGATTTTTTTTTAAAAAAAAAAAATTGTGGGTGGCTTAGCATTCAAATTACATAAGTTTATTTGTATAATGCTGCGCCATTGATTTTTCACATGATTCGTACTATTATCATAGATAGAAATTTTAAATAGAAATTTTAAATAAGGAACAGAACCCCATATATGGTAATTGTAAATAAAAACGTTCTTTGTTTCTTGTTATAATTCGAATATTGTCACAGTCTCACGAAGAAAATATTTACAATTTTTAGCGTATTTATAAAAATCTATTTTTAATAATAATATTGTTCTTTTGATTTTAACCTTTCACAAATTAGATCATTTTTCTTTGTGCGATAGCACAATTTTTTTTTTTCTTTGCATCCTTGACAGCATCACTTACTAATACATTTTTGGAAAGAATCTAATTTTACCCCAGATGTTATGGTATCTTTCGTTTAATATTCACGTGATATGATGATTTGTGCTGATCATTTCTAAAATTGTATAAATTAAAGGTAAAAACGAGATAAAAAATTCTTTTGAATTTCTTAACGAAAATCTTATATATATTCTGAACTATCACTCTATAAATATCAAAATATCAATTAATTAATTCCGTTTTTGACTTTTATATGTTTTTCAAAAATGATCGTCGACGTTTTTTTATTTATTGAGAATTTGAATTTTACGCACCCTGCACAAAAATGTTTCCCGTCTATGTTTGGGCTGCGGAATTACATTAGTTTAGAGTTAGGTTAGGTTTAGTATTGTTAATTATCACAATGCGTCACCCCTTTCTATTTTTCATTTTTACTATTCAATTCTGGGAACTTTGAAATATTTTTCATAAAGAAAGACTATTTATCACACATCCGCATTTTTATGCATACTCACCACGTGAAGAAGCGAAAATCTTAGATCTTCACGTGATAACTGAAATTTTTGTACGTAATTAGATCTACTATTAGATTACGCAGTGTCTTTTTATCAATTTTTCAATATGAACCGTGGTAAAGTCGTTGCAAAAGATTTCTTTTAAAGTATCATTTTCAAATATTAATCTATTTTTTTTTTTTTTTGATTATAGGATCAAGCGCAGGTTATGATCGTCATATTACTATCTTTTCACCAGAAGGACGCCTTTATCAAGTTGGTATGTTTTTTAATATTATCGAGATAATTACGCGAAACTTTTGTTAAACATTTTAATAATTCATATCTTTTTTTATAGAGTATGCTTTTAAGGCAATATCGAACTCTGGAGTAACGTCTGTTGGTGTTCGTGGTAAAGATAGTGTTGTTATCGTGACACAGAAAAAAATTCCAGTATGTTATTTAAACTTCATATAATCTATCTTTATAATTTTTGTTTTAATTCAATTTTTTATTTAGGATAAATTGCTTGATCCATCTACTGTTACACATATGTTTCAATTATCACCTTATGTTGGATGTGTTATGACAGGCTTGATTGGTGTGAAACTTTTAAAAACTTTTAATTTTTTTTCAAATGTAAAGCAGATCAAACTAATTATAATTATAATTTCCCAATTTCTCATTTATTATTCTAATGAAGCTGATGCAAGAGCTCAAGTTACTCGTGCAAGACAAGAAGCTGCTGAATTTCGTTATAAATTTGGATATTATATGCCTTCAGATATGCTTGCAAAACGTGTTGCAAATATTAATCAAGTTTATACACAACATGCTGCTATGAGACCCTTGGGAGTTTGTAAGTTTATTTATTACATAATTTTTAAATAAAATCAAATTATGGGGTTTAAAAAAAAAAGAACATTATTTTTTATAGCTATGATTCTAATTGGATATGATGATGAAAGAGGACCGCAACTTTTCAAATGTGATCCCGCTGGTTATTATGTTGGATATAAAGCTACTGCTGCAGGAGCTAAACAGCAAGAAGCTTTGAATCATTTGGAGAAAAAACTTAAAAAGGATCCAGTTTTAGATTTTGAAGAAACAGTAGAGGTAATTTAAAATTAAAATTATTTCATAATAATAAATGATCTGATTTATTAATTTGATTTAATAATATAATATAATAGTTGGCTATCAATACTCTTTCGTCAGTATTATCAGCTGATTTTAAATCAACTGAAATTGAGGTTGCTGTTGTCACTAAGGATGATCCAAAGTTCAGAACATTATCAATTAATGAAATTGATGATCATCTTCAACGTATTGTTGAAAAGGACTAAAGAAAATGGTTTATGTATTTACTATTTAAGGATTTTGTTATTAGTAGAATGAATAAATTTTTATTTACAAGTGTAATAAAATAAACTAAAATTTATAAATTTTAAAAAAAAATAAAAAATATATTTTACTATCAAATAAAATATTTTACTTTATTAAGTATAAATTTATAAAAAACAATATAAATAATGTAACAAAATTATCTTTTTTTCTTTATCTTGTTCATTTTACGCGATACGGATTTATGTTTACGTTTATATTCTTTCGTCAAGTCACGTGAAGTTTTTTCCCAATTAGAAACAATTTCTTCACTAAAAAAAATCAACAATTAATTAAATAAACGACCACTTAATCATGACTTTAACACTTACACTGGTGACGTACGCATGAATATTTTCATTTCTCTGAAGTGTGATCTAAAAAATAAAAATTAATTTCAAAAATTCTCAATTAATTATACAAAAAAAAAACCTACCTCTTTAATAACTCGTTGTCTCCAAAATGAAAAAAGAATAGTGGTTCCGAAAAAGTTTGAATTTTTTGATTCGCTACTTTGTCTACTCTTTCTATTTTATCAGTTACAGGTAATTCCTTTTTATCAACCTAATAAATTTCAAATATAAATTGGGGGCATTAATTATTGTGAAATAATTTATGAATTAATAAAGACGTACCAAAGCCGATTCATTCTCATCATGTAATTTCATATCTTGAATCTCGCTTTCAGCATCATCATCATCGTCATCATCGAAAAGTGAGAAAGGTTTATCTATTAAAGAAAAATAATTATGAGTTGAATGAATACAATTATAAGTATCCAAGATCGTATTACCATTTGATGATTGAGAAGTAAATATTCCTTTTAAATCAGCATTAATTTCTACTTTTACATCCTTTGATACTTTGGGCAAAGGTTGTGATAATGATGGAGTAATTTCTATTGATTATTGTAATAAATAATATAAATACTTTTTTTTTTAAAAAAAAAAACGATATCCTTTCTCTTAAGGGATAAGTTACCATCAACTTCTTTTTTTTGAACTTCCAACGACTTAGCTTCTGGTGCGTCAGGATCAAAATGAACCATATTTTTCCATTGAGTTTCTTTCCTGTTATATGCAAATTAAATGTAAATTTATGTATACAATATAAATATTAATATTGATTTATGACATACTTTTTCGAATTTGATTGTTCAGGCTTCATATCATCTCCAAACATAACTTTTAGGATATCAAATTGATTGTCTCTTTCTTCTTTTAACAATTTGGTAATTTCGTGATTTTCGTCATCATCAGCTTTACCAGAAGAAATTTTATTTATTTCATCTTTTTGATTATCTTCTTCATCGCTAACAAAATCCTCTGTCAATTTAAATCGTTCATCACCATGAAACTTTTTTTGCAAATTAAGGCGATCCCGTCCTGAAGTACCCTCAAAGAGCGGATTTACCACAATATCTATAATTAAAAATTTTTTTAATCAGATACACATAAAAAGTGAAGATTTAAAGAAAGGCAACACCTATATTTTTTTTCATTAATACTGACCCATCAACTCGTTTTCTTTTACTGATTCATCTTTGTCAGATTCATCTGAATCAAACAATTTCATTGTATCTTGTTTTGTGTCATCATTATCACTAAACACTATGCGTTTTGTGTTCTAAAATTAAAAGCCAACAATGTAAAATATAAGATAAAAACAGATATCACATAAACAGTACTTACGTTTAAAACAGTTCCTATTCTTAACGCTTGTGTGATCTTTTCTCTTTCCGCACGTTTTTCTTGCGCACGCTGTTTAAGTGCTTCCAAACGGATTTGATTGGATTGTTCTTGTTTTAATAAGTTTTTTTCATTATTTTCATCTTTTTCATCTTTTTCATCCTTTTCATTTTCTAATTTTTCTAATTTCAATTTTCTAAGATCATTAATAATTGAAGGAGGTAAATGAGTTTGAGTAACTACAAGTGTTTGGTTAGTAAATTTAGGAATGAATGATGTAAAATTGTTTTGTTCTAATTTATCATCCGATTTCGCATCAAAATCATCTTGACTTTTATTTTCATCATTTTGATTTATTAAAGGTTGTTTCTCTTTAATTTCATATTCCTCGTAAAAATATGGTAATTGAGCAAGTGATTTTGGTTTAACATCAATGACTTTATCAGAAAATTTCAAAATATTGCCTTTATAGCGACTGGGATCAATTATTATCTTTATTTAAAGTAAAAAAATATATATATTATTAATTATACTAATGCTTGCTATAAATAAGCAGATTATTTAGATTTCTTACCCTTGTTCCATCGTCCTTTTTTAATCGCATAACTGATACTGCACGACCATATTTTGTTTTTTTCCAGCCCTAAATAAATCATTAAAAAAAAGTATTTAATTTAATATATTTAATATTTAGATAGTAGATTTCTCTTTAAAAAAAAAAAAAACCTTTCTGTGCTCAAAATTATTATCAGTTACTAAGCTCATATCTTCGGCAAATTCGTTATGAAAATGACCCCGTTTACGTTTTTTACATGGCGGAGTTGAAGACTTTTGAATTTCCCATTCGCTTTTCAATCTTTAAATTTATATATTTTTTTTTTAAAAAAAAAGTAATTACGACTTGATCACGTGAAAATATAAAATCAACGAATTAATTTTATTGCCTCTGTTTATAATCGAGTTTCGCTTCCTGAACTTTTAAAGTCATTCCATTCCATTTAGCTCCATTAAAAAGAGAAACACCTTTACAAAAGTTAATGATGTGTTACAATTTATTATAAAAAAAATACTGAATACATTTTGTAATAAAGCTATTTTGATTCATACATTTTTTCCAGCTACTATCAGTTGTCTTTAATGTAACATAGGCAAACCCGCGACACTCCCCTATTAAGTAACCCACCAAAATGAAAAAACGCGTCCATATACTAAAATAAACACTTCTTATAATAAAAAAATGTCAAAAGCTTATATTATTTCACCTGTAGACTGTCGTATGATGTCTACTTTTGATACAACTCCAAAAGAATTAAACCGAATTTCCAAATCTTTTTCGTTAATATCTTTAGAAAGACCCCCTATGTATACACGTTTCTCCAATATTTCAATTACGGGAGAAGAAACTTTTAAATCTGACATAACTGAAATAAAAAAGGACCAGATGGATTTTCGTGGATCTTACCGAATGATAATTGATAATTATAATTTTTCAATCTGTAAACAACAGGTGATTTTTTCCATTGATCATCATGATATCATGCATAAAACAAAAAAAAAATTTTTTATATATATAGATAGTATTGACCTTCTTTTTTACGCAAGGTTATACTCTTTGAAACCTTCTTTAAAGACCGCGAATATCATTTAAACTAATATAATAATGGCTAATCAAATTATTGTCGTTGGCGGTGGTCTTTCTGGACTTTCCGCCGCTCATACAGTCTTGGAACATGGTGCTAATGTTCTTGTTATTGATAAGAACTCTTTCTTTGGTGGTAATTCTACCAAGGCTACCTCTGGTATTAACGGTGCTCTAACCAAAACTCAAATAGGTAGGTAGTTTATATTTGGAACGAAAGTTTACGTTTAGAGAGAAGGAAATGTGAAAAACTAATTTTTTTTGATTGGTATAATTAATAAAAATTATTTTTTTGGATATACAGCTCTTGGTATTAAAGACTCTGCCGCTTTATTTCAGGAGGATACAACGCGCTCAGCTCGGGATCTTGCTCGACCTGACCTTATTAAAGTTCTTACAGGAAATTCTGCTTCTGCCGTCGAATGGCTCCAAGATAAATTCAATTTGGACCTTTCTCTTGTTTCACGGTTAGGTGGACACTCTCAACCTCGTACACATCGTGGAAAGGAGATGTTTCCTGGTATGACAATTACATATGCTTTGATGGAACGTCTCGAAGATATTGCTGAAAACCAGCCAAATCGCGCACGTATCATCAAGAAAGCGCGTGTAACAAATTTGATCAAAGAAGGTGAAGAAGTTATTGGTGTAGAATACGAAAAGGACGGTCAAACATTAAAAGAATACGGTCCCGTGGTTTTGGCTACTGGCGGTTATGCAGCTGATTTCACGGAAAATTCGTTACTTAAAAAATATCGACCAGATATTTATGATTTACCTACCACTAATGGAGATCATTGTACCGGAGATGGTCATAAAATGGTTTTGGCTATTGGCGGCAAAGCTATTGATCTTGAAAAAGTTCAAGTACATCCGACTGGTCTTGTTGATCCTAAAGATCCAAATTCTAAAATTAAATTTTTGGCCGCTGAAGCACTTCGAGGTGTTGGAGGTTTGTTATTAAACGCAGAAGGAAAACGATTCTGTGATGAATTAGGACATCGTGACTATGTTACCGGTGAAATTTGGAAAACAAAAGGCCCAGTTAGACTTGTGCTCAATAGTAAAGCTTCAAAAGAGATTGAATGGCATTGTAAACATTATGCTGGACGTGGATTAATGAAAAAAATTAATTCCGGTGAAGAATTGGCAAAAGAAATTGGCGTCTCCGTATCACAATTAAAAGCAACTTTTGATGATTACAATGATATCGCTTCTGGTAAAAAGAAAGATCCATATGGGAAGAAATTCTTTCAAAACGCGCCATTGTCAATTAATGACAATTTCCACGTTTCTTTAATGTCACCAGTTTTACATTACACTATGGTGAAATTACATTTTATATTATATATTTTTTACTTTACTTTTGTTTCTTTAATTTAACAAAAATTAAATTTATAGGGAGGCGTTGAAGTTACTCCTGATTCTGAAGTAAAAGATGTACAAGGAAAAACAATTCCAGGGCTTTATGCTTCTGGTGAAATTGCTGGAGGAGTTCACGGAGCAAAGTAAGTACACCTACGATATATAAAATTTAAGGTTATGTAGTTTATTAAGTTATCTTACATTCGAATATATATAGTCGTCTTGGTGGATCATCTTTATTAGGATGTGTCGTATTTGGTCGTGTTGCTGGAGATACTGCATCACGCCATTTATTACAAAATTTGTCCAGTGCAACTGCTACTCGTCGACTTGGACAAATTGCTGGTCAATTGGCTCCTTATCAAGCCACTGTTAACGTTGATCCTACAAATCAAAAAGTACATTTGGAAATTTATTGGGGGCAACAGGGTGGTAATTCTGTCGCAAAACAAAGTCCTCAACCATCAGCTGCTAGTAAACCCGAAGAAAAAAAAGCAGCTCCAACAGTTGAGCAGAAAGAATATACGATCGATGATGTAGCTAAGCATAATACTGAACAAGATTGTTGGGGTAAAGTACTTTTTATTTTTATTTTTTTGTATTTTCTTTTTCGAAAATTATAAAACACGCCATGGCGCTCAACGTCATAGTTATATGATTTATGTATTTTTTATTTGTTACTTTACCTTTTTATTTTATATTATTGGTAGATAAGCTAAGCTGATTCTATTAATATAATAATTATATTCCACTTTCAGTATTTAATTCTGCAGCATATACTTCACATATATCTTTATTAGTTTTTCGCAATACCATAGCTTTTGAGAAAATGCACACTATAGTGTTGAGCGCCAGTGGTGTGATTTAGTAAAGTCGTTCTTTTTTATGGCTTACTAATTCATATTTGCCTAAATTACATTATTAGTCGCTATAAACGGACGCGTTTTAAATGTTACAAGTTTTCTCCCAGGTTAGTTTTATTAGCATAAAAAAGGTTGTTTTATTGTAAAATTCAAAATTATTCCTTCCTTTATAGATCATCCTGGCGGTAAACGTAGTATATTGCTATATGCTGGTAAAGATGCAAGTGAAGAAGTAAGTATTTTTTCCTTAAATATTGGTATAAAAAAAGATTAAATAATAATAATGTTTTCTTCTTTTTCGTTTAGTTCAATATGTTACATGAAAAGAATGTAATTGATAAATATGCTCCGCAAACTGTAAAGTATCTTTGATTTATTTATTTTCTTTAGTCTTTAATTTGTAAGAACTTTTTTTAAATTTGCTAATCTTTTTTTCTTAGGTTATTGGTACTTTGAAGAAATAAGAATTCTATATAATTAATTAATATTATATCTCATATCATTGTATTGATTAAAACTTTAGTTATAAAGAGATGTATACAAAAAAAAAGAATAATTCATGTAATATATTTGAGAAAAAAAAAAAAAATAATAATAATAAAAATTTGTGTAGGAATTTATTTAATAATTTAAAATGGTTTATTCACTATTATTTATTTATTACATCATTTATAATTACAATTGTTTTTTTGGTTTTACTAATTTTTGTTTAAATATTAACTCTTAGTTAATTTTACTAAAAAAAGGATAGTTTAAAAACGTTTATTAGAGTAATTATATAAATTATAAATTAATTTTTTATATACTATTATTAACTATTATTTAGGTAAATATGAAAAAATAAGATTATTTAATAATTAATTTTTATTAATATATATGACTTTTACAGATAATTTTGTTTATATTCAATTAGTCAGTTATTATTTATAATCAATAAAATAAAATTAGAATAATACTTTTTAATTAATAATTAGTATGATTGATATTAAATACTTTTTTCTATAAATAATTATTAATGCATATTGGTTAACTATAACATTTAGCTATTATTTAAATTAGTAAATTACATTTTAATTAACAAAAAGTTTAGAATTACTACTTAAATATATATTTAAAAAGTATTGCTATTGATATACTAATTGAATTATTAATAACTATTTTAATATTATCATATTATAGCAATTTTATAGAAAGCAATATTTTATTAAATAATATTAGCAATTTTATAATTTTTAAAATTGTATTTTTAGTATTAATATTAATTTTATTAAAATTAAATAAAATTAATAAAATTAATAAAATATATATAAATCATATTAATTTTAATAGTAAAAAAAGTATTTATAAAAAATTATTAATTAAAGAATTATTTATTATATTAAATTAATTGAATTGGTAAAATTTGTTTTATTTCTATTTTTTTTACCAAATTACCTTATAAATAATATTGAATAATCTATTTGAAAATTTTGAGATCTAAATATTTTATTAAATAGAATAATAGATAATTTAAATAAATAATCCTAAAATAATTCAATTATTTAAATATTATGTATATTATACATATTGTTAAAATTATTTTAAACTGCTATAATTATAAGTAAATTCCAAATTTAATTATAATATTTCACCACTTTATATAGTTAAATTACTTATAAATTAAATGAATTATAGACATCTTAAATTATAATTATAACATTTTAAAATAATTTGAACAGTATATAATTATAAAATAGGAAATTATAATATTTATATTTAAATAATTTTACTAAATTTTTATAGTTTTATAATAACTTTTACAGAAGTATATTAAAGATTTTATATTATTATATTATTATATAATAAAGTATTAGGAATTCACTAATTAAATTTATAAAATAGAATGAAAATAATTATTATTATATTTATATATTTAATTTAAATAATTTGAATAATCTTAAAATTTATCAATTTATAAATTTGTAAATTTGGTTAATTTACTTAATTGATTAACAATTATTTAAATACATTGTAAAATGATAAAATAATTTGAATTAATCTAAGAAGATATTATTTGTTTAAAAAAATCTTAGCTAAAGTTTGATTTTAAATTTTTTTTTTATAAAAAATATATTATTTTATGAAATTATTATATATTTAATATATATATATTATATATAATTGTATTTGCTAAATATTGTGTAAGAGATTTGTACTCTTGTACTTGTGAATTTTTCAACACATGTAAACTGGTGAAGGACGAGTTTTGCGCCATTAGACTTGCGCTTTCTATATTTGGCTAAGTATCATCAGATGATCAGCGTTTTAGAAGTTGCAGTAACGTCCGTAAAAGTCCGCAAAAAAAAAAAAA